ATGTTGCACGTGGCAGCCGGTCCGGCCCCCGCCGCTCCACCCAGGCTGCACCACCACCACCACCGCCCCACCCCGGTAGCCCACTCTCCCCCCTGACCCCTCACCCGACTCCTGCAGCTCCATCCGCATCTTCTTCTCCGCCAGCCGCTTCTCCACGCGCCGCGCCTGGAGCTGCACGATGCTCTTGATCTGCTCGCGGCGCAGCCCCTGGAACACGATGAACTCATCGATGCGGTTGATGAACTCGGGGCGGAAGTGCATACGCACCTGCGGGGGTGTCGGTGGGGGGGTGGGTGGGGGGTGGGGGGTGTCAGATGCGAGAGCGCGTGCGCTAGTGCGGGGCACATCGGCGTGGGTGGGAGGTGGCGGGGAAGGGTGGGGAGACGGGGAGGCACCCAGGCCGAGGGGCGGCCGCGCGAGGCGGAGCCCGGAGCAGGCAGCGGGTCGCCCCCGCCCCGCGCGAGCCGACGGGGAGGCAGGGGTGGCTGCTCGCCTCCCCGCCCACCTGCTGCGTGACCTGGTTCTTCATGCTCTCAAAATCGCCGTGGCTCATCGACTCGAGGATGGTGGCGGAGCCGATGTTGGAGGTGAGGATGATGACGGCGTTCTTGAAGTTGACCACCCGCCCCTGCGGCGCAGCGGGGAGGGGAAAAGGATGGGGTGGAGCGGCAGGCGGGCAGGCGGGCATGCATGCATGCAGGCAGGGGTGTGCAAGGGAGGCCGGCAGGCAGGGGTGCGCAAGGCTCGCAAGGCTGGCGGTGGGCTGGGGGCGGGCAGCGAGCAGCAGCACCCAGGCAGGGGCGTGCACGGCGGCCAGCGCGGCATGAGCGGGCGCTGCATGGGCCCACAGCCCAGCCCGCGGCAGGCGCGCCCGGCTGGCGCTGGCGCAGGCGCCCAACCTGCGCGTCTGTCACACGGCCGTCATCCAGTATCTGCAGCAGGATGTTGAACACGTCGCCGTGCGCCTTCTCCACCTCATCGAACAGAATGACGGCGTAGGGGCGCCGCCTGCGGGCAGCAGGAGCAGGGGCAGGGGCAGAGGCGGCGGCAGAGTCAAGGGCCGGCGGGGGCAGGGCGGCGGGAAGGGAGGCGGGGGTAGGGCGGCTGGCGGCTGGCAGGGCGGGCGCGCGGGCGTGCGCCGCCAGCCGCAGCGGGCGCAGCAGGGGGACGTGCAGGCCACTTCCCCGCCCCGCCGCCTGCTCACGCCGCATCCCGCGCCTGCCTCTCCACACACGCGCGCACCAGAGCAGGCCTCCCTGCCCCCACACGCGCTGCCGAGGAGGCCGCGCGGCCGCCGCCCCAGCCCCCTCCCGGGCCTCACCTCACCGCCTCCGTCAGCTGTCCTCCCTCCTCGTAACCGACGTAGCCCGGGGGCGCGCCGATCAGGCGGCTGACAGTGTGCTTCTCCATGTACTCGCTCATGTCCAGCCGCACGATGGCGGCCTCGGTGTCAAACATGTATTCCGCCAGCTGCGGTACATGGAGGCGGTACGCGAGGGCGGTACAGGTGGCGCGGGTCAGCGGCGCGGCACGGTGGGCTGGCCGCAAAACGCAAGGGTGGGGCGGGGCTGACGAGCGGCAAACCGGCGGCGCGAGTCTGCCAGGCCGTCCCCCGCCCCACCCCGGCTGCCTGCCTGCCTTCCAACTCACCGCCTCCTCGAGCTCTTTCTTGCCCCCCCCGCCCGGGCGCACGAAGAACAAGGAGGAGACTATGCGGCGGTTGGGGTCCAGCAGGCCGGCCCGCGAGCGCTGGATGGCGTCGGCCACTGCCTCCACCGCCTCCTCCTGCCCAATCACCCGCCTGTGAAGCTCGTCGGCCAGGTGCAGCAGCTTCTCGCGCTCGCTGCGGCAGGCGGGGCGGCAGCGGCGGGGTGGGTCGGCATGTCAAAGTGCAGGCAGGCGGGCACATAGTCAGCATCTGCCGTGCCAGAGTGCGCTCGCCGTGATGCGCCGCACGGCAGCGGCGCAACGGGCCACCCGGCCCGCCGCGCGCCGGCCAGCCAGCTACGTGCACGCCCAGCGAGGCGCGGCGTGCGCCTGCCGCCCGCCGCGCAGCGCCAGCGCCTCACCTGGCCTTGAGGGAGGAGACCGGGATGCCGGTCCACTTGGACACAATCTCTGCAATGTCCTCCTGCGTCACCTCGCTGTGAAGCATGCGGTTGGTCTGCAGAGGGGCAGGCCGGGGCAGGGCGGGGAGGCGGGCGGGTGAGGCGGGCGTGGAGGCAGGCAGGTGAGGCAGGCGGCCAGCAGAGTGGCACAGCGGATGGCTGGCAGATGGGGGGGGCAGCCGGCTGCGCCGGGCATGCGAGGCGGCGCCGCGTCACCACCCCATGGGGGGTCGTCCCCACGGCGGCGCGGCCTGCTCGCGCCTGCAGCTGGCGCCTCCACCCTCCAGCCTCCAACCACAAACCGCCCCCGGCCCTGGTCCCCCCTTACACACCCACACCCACACACACTCTCTCTCTCCACCCTGCAGGGCTGCAGCTGCCGCCCTCTCACCGACTCAGCCTGGTCCAGCTGCTGCTCCGCCGCCACCAGCTGCTTCTGCAGCTCCAGCAGCGTGCCGTACTTGAGCTCAGCGGCGCGGTTGAGGTCGTAGTCGCGCTCGGCGGCCTGCGGGGAGGCAGGGGCAGGTAGGGAGGGAGGCAGGGAGGCAGGGAGGCAGGCAGGGGGCGTGAGGGTGAGGGGGTGGCAGGCCATGCAGGCCATGCAGGCAGGCATCGGGCAGCCCGCTGGCTGCTCCCCCCTGCCCCTCTGGGGCCAGCGGCAGATGGCCCCTCCCATGCAGTCCCCCTGCCCGCCCGGGAGCCGGCTGCCGCCACCCGCGCCCTCTCCCCGCCCGCGCCCTCTTCCCGCCCGCGCCCTGTCCCCGCCCGCCCGCCCACCTGTATCTCGATGTTCACTCGGTCGATCTCGCCCTTAAGCTGCTGCACCTTGCTCATCTCGTCCCGCTCCTCCTCCCACATCGCATTCAGCTCCGCCTGCTGCTCCTTGAGCGCCGCCAGCTGGGAGTCGAGGCCCGCCAGGCGCTGCCGTGCGCCGCGGTCCGTGTCGGCCGCCTTCACCAGGCTCAGCCGCTCCATCTCCAGCTGCAGCACCTTGCGGTCCACCTCGTCCAGAGCCAGCGGCTTGCTGGTGATCTCCATCTTCAGCTTGGCAGCCGCCTCATCAACCAGGTCGATCGCCTTGTCTGCGGGAAGAGGGGGAGGGGGCGCAGCAAGGGGTGGCAGGGGGCGGCTGGGTGGTGGTGGTGGTGGCGGTTGAGTGGTGGTGGTGGCGGTTGCGAGGGTGGATGGGCGGCCGGGGAGAAGGGAGCCAAGTGGGGGCGGCGCGGCTGGTAGAACAGGCCCATGGGCACGGCCCAGCACGCCCCAGCACACACAGCACACACAGCACGCCGCACCCAGCCTGCCGCCGCCGGCCACCCACCCGGCAGGAAGCGGTCTGCGATGTATCGGTCGCTCAGCACCGCCGCCTCTACCAGCGCCGAGTCGGAGATCTTGACGCCGTGGTGCAGCTCGTAGCGCTCGCGCAGGCCGCGTAGGATGGAGATGGTGTCTGTCACCGAGGGCTGGTCCACGTAGACCTGCTGGAAGCGCCTGCGGGAGGGGGAGGGCAGCAGGGGACAGGAGCCGGTGAGGTGTGCGTGCACGGCAGGCAGGCAGGGAGCGCTGCGGGCGCTGCGCTGTGTCCAACGGCGGCAGCAGCACGCGCGGCAGCCAGCCCGCGGTACAACCGGTGGTACGGTCAGCGGTACTGTAAGCGGTACGGGGGCCCCACCTCTCCAGCGCCGGGTCCTTCTCGATGTACTGCCTGTACTCGTCCAGCGTGGTGGCCCCGATGCACCGCAGCTCCCCGCGAGCCAGCATCGGCTTGAGCAGGTTGGAGGCATCCATGGCGCCGTCGCTCTTGCCCGCGCCCACGATGTTGTGGATCTCTGCAGTTGGGTGGCGCAGGCGCAGGCGGCAGGGGCGGGGATGCAGGCGGGTGAGGCAACCAGGGCCGCGGCAGAAGAAGCAGTACAAAGGAGGGGCGGGCGCGAGGGGCGGGGCAGAGGCAAGCGCCCTGGCTGGTCTGGCTGCCCAGGCCTGCCCACCCCGTGCGCCAGCCAGCCCTCCAGCCAGCCAGCCCTCCAGCCACCACACCCCATACCCAGTCCCACCCCCAGCCCCACGCCCAGCCCCAGCCCCACCCCGTCAATGACCAGCGCGTCCTCACCGTCGATGAACAGCACGATCTGCCCCTGCGAGTCCTGCACCTCCTTGATCACCGCCTTGAGCCGCTCCTCAAACTCGCCGCGGTACTTGGCGCCCGCCACCAGGGCGCCGATGTCCAGCGCGATGAGCGCGCGGCCCTGCAGCGCGGCAAATGCTTCTGGTGGTTGGCTTTTTTGGCCTTGCTGTTGCTTCCTCCCGGCTCTTCCCCTCCCATTTTTAACTCCCATTCTCAACTTCAAAAACGGTGTCTGAAGTGGCGCATCTGTGGCACCACCATGGCTGCTGCAGCGCTGGAAACCGACCGACCGACCGACCGACTAACCTGCAGCGAGGCGGGAACGTCCCCCGCCACGATGCGCTGCGCCAGACCCTCAGCCACCGCCGTCTTGCCCACGCCGGGCTCGCCGATCAGCACCGGGTTGTTCTTGGTGCGGCGGGACAATATCTGGATGGCGCGCCGCACCTCGTCGTCCCTGCAGCCACGCGCCGGCGCCAGCGCAGTTGGCAGGCACGGCGGCGCAGGCGGCGGCGGTGAGCGGGCGAGAAGGCAGCAGGGCTGGGAGGGTGGCGCCCGTGGGAGCGGCATGGGCAGCTGCCGGCCGCGCGCTTTCCTCCCTCCATCCCGAGCCCAGCTCTGCCCTCTCGCCCCGTCTGCCAGCCCCTGCCCCCCGCTGTCCTGCCCCCCCGCGGTCCTGCCCCCGGCTGTCCTGGCCCCGGATGCCCTGCCCCCAGCTGCTCTGCCCCCCTCCCTCCGCTGCAGGCTGCGGCCTCAGCCTCAGCCTCAGCAGGCTGCGCTGCGCAGCCCCCAACCCCAACCCACCGCCCACCTGCCGATCACTGGGTCCAGCTTGCCCTCCCGCGCCGCCTGCGTCAAGTCCCGCCCGTACTTGGTCAAAGCCTCGTACTTGCCCTCAGGGTTCTGGTCCTGCACGCTGCGGGGAGGAAAGGAAAGGGAAGGAGGCGGGAGAAAGCAGGGGGGGTGAGGGGTACGCGCATCGTGCGGTCAGCGCGGCGCATGCATGTATGATGCAGAGGGGTACAAGCAAAGCAGCGCTGGGGAGGGAGCGGGGGGCGGGCGGTGCGGAGAGTCTGGCGAGGCCGGCGCAGATCAGTGCCGGTGCCGCGCCCCTGGCG